CATTCAAAGGTTTAACCTTAGCTTATAGGAGGCTAAAGTCTTGGAATAATCTATATCTATATTTCAACTATTATAATTATTATTGTATTATATTGTGTATCCTTTTTGTGTCAAACCCTTAATTCCGGTATGGTTAGAGTAGGGTTGGCAAACGGTGGAAGCTTTTTCTTTACAGAAATAAAACCTCTTTCAGCACACATCTAGTGTGGAGACAATGCAGTTGAATGCATTAAAGTCAAAGTAATAACAGCAGTAAAAAAAAGCCAACCACATGCTAAACGCGCCGCAGAGAATCTGTGCCAAAGCAAAGGTGAGTTCTAGCATCGCCGTTTTACTGCAGATTGCCTGTGAGGAGGTGAAGTACAGACAATTTACTCGCTTCTCCAACGCCTGATGTGAGCTTTATAGATGGCAGCCACCTCAGGATGGATGCTGTTTCAAAGATGACAGCTCATCACCATGAGTGACAAGTGTTGCGGTTGAAAATGACCAACTGCGGTGGAGGGGAGCAGGACAAACATCACACTTCCTGCCTGAGGGCATTCAAGTTGAATTTGTTTGTAAATCAGAAGAAATGTTATCATTAATAAACAAGATTTCTCATTTCGAACATAATCCCTACATAGGTGTGTGACCTTTACATGTAAAGTACAGCATTCAAATAGAAAGGTCCTGGAACACATAACCAAAAAATACTTGTTTATCCTCTCAAATAACAAAAAAATGTGAAAGCCAAGAAAAAGGTTTGACAATGTCAATGCAAGTTAGTGAAGGATGTCTAAAAGCGGCAAAAAACAAGAGGAGTAATTTATTGTACCGAAGTAGTTTTATACATTTAGTATTCAATAAGACTGGAGAAACTCTATTTCCAGATCAGCCTTTATTTACATGTCTCCACCTTTACATGTTGCACTGCAGCTTTTTAAAGATGGATCCTTGCAGAGCAGACCTGTAAGCCATTCTGTTGCCTCCCAACTAAATGTTCTTAGTGAATTTAAGCTCCCTCTCATAAGTATTGAATGTGTTTAGGTGTTTTATTGTAAGAGGTAACAATGTGGTCTCTATTCTCAGATTTAAAAATGCAGTGCCATATTTCGCTTTGTGAGTTGGCTTTCTGAACCACACATAATGAACTATCTGTAAGAATAAGAGCTGCGTTCATGTCAGAGCAAAATTGCCAGCATGGCCTACAGCGAGCCAAAGCAGCACACACAATTCTCTCTAACATAAACTATAGTTATATATAAAAATGTGGTAATGTATAGTGTTTAAGAGCAGGGTGTTCTGATATTCGTTCACAGTAGCTATAGGTAGGAACAACAATAACTTAATATTAGCTGTTTTTACTCATCCTGATAACACTGAGATCACCGTTTGTAGTTCAAATTGTTCTTCTAACGGTGGTTGTTTTTGCTTGTGGAGCCAGATCACTAAATTAAATATATATTACTGGTGATGCACTATTTTCTTTTAAATATTCATTTTGGAAGCTCTAGGGAAAACAGGAAGCAATGAGTCTTTGCAATATGAAAATGCTGGATAGGGGGGGTGTCACATCATAAAGGTGATAATGTGTCAGTGTTATGTTCAAACCTAGTTTGTGCTGACTCCAAGCGGCCAAAAACATGTTACTTGATGCTTGTTTGATTCAAATGTAATAACATGTATATGTATTTACTTTGCCCTATACATAATTGAATATCAATACAATTATGTTTCATGAAAATGCTTGTTTTTTAACCTTTATTAGTAGTAAATGTCCTATTTTTCTGTTATAATTTAAATAATACGCAGTTCAGTCGCTGCAGTGTGTGTGGTATTGCCATTGTATAAGAAGTATGTTTTCCAACAACATGTGGGCATTAATAAAGCAAACATGCCACAGAAATAAATGAACCCACTCATATGAATCCATTCATATATGGAATCAGTAGGGTTGTATTCTCATGCAGTGTTTATGAACATAACTGCGACACAGCTGACACGACTGCAGTGATTCATCATGAAATTATTTTCTGTCCGTACAATTATTTATGTGTTTTAATAATGAATAAAGGGAAATGTGTCAGGTTGAGATATGGTCCTAGGTCCCAAATCTTTAAGTTGCAGTTTTATACACTTTGGACTTTATTGAGACCATAAGTTCAGTCATGAAAAAAAGACCAAAGCTACATTTGTACCCAACCCCCTTTGTAGGAAAAGATGCACAGCCTCATGCCAGATGCAATTCATATTCATCACTTCAACACTTGAGGTGACGAATGTGATGTCTCTGATTTACGTCCACACAACTCCCCTCACTAATGGCATGCTTGAGGATGACAACGATCAAAGTTACAATCCCAGGGTGAAGAGATAACATGGTAAACCATTTCTCCATGTACATAAATGACTGGTGTTGAATTGTGTTTTGGGACACGCATAACCAGGTTTGCAGACCCTTGAGGGTTGTGAGACTTCTCTTGGAGAGAAAGCAACAAGGTGGGTAAAAGACATCTAATAGTGTGAGGATTCAGATTGAAAAGGTGTGAGGCAACATATCGTAATATATTTCTTAGGGAACCATCTCCTTATAATACAAGTCACAACATTATTGCAGTTGGTCTGTGTGGGTTTCCTTGTAAGATAGGAACACTGTGTGCACCTTTGGAGCTTTGATTCGTCCCCCACTCCACCCTGGTCACATTTCATGGGGATTTTTAGACTGAATCAAATCCAGACCTTTATATTGCACACCTTTCAAACTCACTACACCAGGTTCCCAGTGACACATGTCAGTGTTTTACCTGTTTTCTCAATTCTTTTTTTCTGGGTGGCACACAATTTAACATGGTGCAATAGATATCTTTAAAAATACTATCATCTCAAGTGGGCTTACTGGCCAGATTTATGAAAATCAAAACACATTGGTGGTGCTGCTCTTATGTAATGTGTGATTGCATCTGTGAAATGAACATCTGATTTATTATTGAACTTCTTATTACCTGTATGTTACAAGTCAAGCCGCACTTTCAAAGGTCCAGTTTGCTCGGATATCAAAATACAGAAGATGTGAGGTTGTCATAATGAGAAACACAAATATTTACCAACGCTGCAAACACTGCCTGATCTAAGATGTTGATGACTAAATTCAAATATAGCAAAAACAGGATGACTTTGGTGATATCTTGAATTTTCTCTAGCATGTTTATACTTTATTTTTAATGAAAATGTCTCAACAAATATTGGATCGATTGTCATTCAACATGGCTGGGACTTCAGTAAGGCAAGGCAAGGCAATGAAAGGCAAGGCAAGTTTATTTATAGAGCACTTTTCAACAGGCAATTCAAAGTGCTTTACAAAAATGAAAGACATTAAGAGCATAAAACACATTAGAAACATTTAAAAAGCAAAGATAATAAAAAATGAATAACACCGGTATATGAATAAAAGTAACAGTGCAGTGTAAGATGTGAATAGATATCAGGGGCCGTATTCACAAAGCATTTTATCTTACCGCTAGGAGTGCTCCTAACTCGCTCTAAAACATTTTACGTAGGAGTTTTTTCTTAAAAGTTATTCACAAAGCCGCTGAGACCTACTCATACTAAGGATAAATCACTAAGAGTGAACTAAGAGTGACGCGCCGTTGCTATGGATTACGTCGATTCTCGTGCATGAGTTTAGAAGCGGTCAGTACGGTGATTGGTTGTTCAGAGCAGGCGGTCTCGGTGAAACTCATCCGCAACATCCCACAAACGAGCCCACTAAAACAAAGAAATAGCCTAGGCTAGAAATGTATTCCTATCAAATAGTTATGGACAGTGCAGTTAGCAGAATACACGCATGATGACAAGTTTGTGCAGACCACGATAATGACGTTGTATATGCACGTTAAAGAGAGAGAGCAAACAATAAAAATACGTAAATTGCATTAAATCAAGGAGGCAATTAAAAGCACCCTGCAAACTATTATCCAATGAGCATATTTCCAGCACTTAAACACTTTCAATAACAGCCCATACCGCCGTTCAAGTCCCCCTATNATTGCTGAAAAAGCTCCAAGGCTGGTGTTCTTTAAGGGAGTTGATTGCATGCACTCTATTTGGAGTTAATTACAATTCCGGTTTTAGTGTGCCTTTTTTCTTCAGAAAAAAGGCACACTAAAACCGGAATTGTAATTAACTCCAAATAGAGTGCATGCAATCAACTCCCTTAAAGAACACCAGCCTTGGAGCTTTTTCAGCAATGCAAGTGTTAAAAGAACACCCAAATCAACACTTATCAACTCGAAATAATTGACACTGAAAAATCAACACTATTTCACACCACAGAATTTGCTGTGCACACACACAAACACAGTACACCTGAGACTGTTACAATGAAGGGGGGGGGGGACCTATGCTCTTCTAGGGGGATCCTCACCTCCTCTAGGGGGGTCCGGGGGCATGCTCCCCCGGGACGATTTGTTTTAAAACATTGAAGTTAAAAGCATCAATTTGGTGCACTTTGAGAGCAAACTTAAGATATATGGATACATCTTTCAACACCCATTTGAAACAGAACTGTAAACAGATTTTCTTTTTCTTTATGGGTATTTTACAAATCACTCCCCTGTGACTGTGTAATGTAAGGTAAGGTAGCTTCTAGCTTCATGTGGAACACTGACAGTAAGTCAACATTTTCCAGAGAGTTTTCTTTGAAATCACCAGGTAACGCTAAAAAACACAACATTAGCCTACATATTGTATGACAAAGTGTTAATTTAATATCTCAGAAGTATACGATAAACTTTATCGTATACTTCCATTGTTATTAACCTTATTAAAAGACATGAAACAGTTGCAGGTTCTGTAACTTTGCATAGTAGCCTACAATACAACACAATATTCTGGTGTATGTGTAGGTCGGCTCTGCCTACCACCTCCAGGTCCCCGCGCCTCCTCCAACATGTGTCTACCCAGTGATGTGCTGTGTGCGCATTACTGTGGATGCATAAATGCAGAGGACAGTGCGCGCCCTGGATGCGAGCAGCTGAAGTCGCAGCTTCTCCCCCCCCCATGTTCTGCCCTGCCCTGTGCCGTGCTGCGCGTCTCTCCGTTTCATTTCTCCTTCCTCACGCCGACACGAACACAGAGCTGCTGTGTGTGCGGGAGAAGTTGTTTGCACAGAGAGCACCTGGTAGAAACTGTTCCCTCCAAACGGATTGGTTCTAGTTGGGAGCAATCGGACTCACCGGGGTCTTTTTATTTTTTCCAGGGGAAGAACAGACGAAGCGATTGCAATGTGGTGGACGTACCAGTATGTCAAGTGAGGAGTGATTTCTATTTTTTGTTTTTAATGAACATCTGACATCCTCCCCACCGGAGACATCTTTCAGTCAGACCTTTTCGGATTTCTTTTTTTTTTCTTTGTGACGGATATTTCCCTGTGAAACATTATCAAGGATTTCACTGATGTATGCGATGTGGAGGCTGCAAGTCGCCTTATGTACTCTGTCGGTGCTGTCCCTGTCATCTGCTGGAGAAAGCAAAGCGCGGAGCTGTAGCGAGGCACGGCAAGCTTATACCGCTAAAGGATTCAGCCTCGTCAATGTGCCTCATCAGGAAATATCAGGTAGGACATGACATCGGTGCTTTTCTTCCCCCTCGTGTCTTGTTTCCCCCCGAAAATAAAAGCATTTGATCATGATGACCACACAACCTGAACTAACTGATCTCCCGCAAGCATTTGAGGATTTAACTCACCCTGTAACCAAGATCCTCTTTTATCAGAAGATCCAAACAGTCTCAAGTGTGAGTCTGTTTTTGCAAAATGTACATTCAGTGGTTATGTTTTAGGACGTATTTCAAGTATATGAACAATCAAAGTAACTGCAATAGAATATAACTCTATGAGCTTTTTAAAGGTCAGTATGATCCACTCCTGGTCCACTACCTATGTAGAGTCACAGCAAGTTGCATTTTATAGCCACTAAGTAAGTAGACATCAAGCACTGGATTGACAAATCAGTATGAAGTTCAAATAATTATCCTGTAATATTGCTTACTAGGTATCCATATATCCATTCTCATATGTTTAATATTTGTATTTAGGTGTTTTAACTGTAACACTTTAGAGGCCAAACTGAAAGTGCTAATAGCCCATAAACTTAATTTGCACTTTCACAGATAAAACCCACATTACTTTTCACCATAACAAATTATTATTCCTTTCCTCAAATAAGTGGGTTTACCAAGAGGTTATTCATTGATCAATAGTCCATTAAACATCAGGATTAACAGCCCAAGAGTAACATGTGGGATCTATGTAATTTACTTTAAACATCATTCCTAATTAATGCTGCTTAAATAGAGACAGTGGAATATTTACTTAGTGACAAATAATGCAACCTCAGTAGATATGTTTTGGAAGTAGCTTCATACCTGTTGCACGCATTCAACAGAAGATCATGGAGCTTGTTATGTGGTGCTTGGCTAAAGAGTGAGTGCTGTTTACCAGTAGGGGGCTGTATGCACTCAGCACAAAATACTCCTTTTGCTGAGGGTTTCTTTTTCCTTATTCTTCTTCTTTTCGATATTCCTCAAGGCTAAAGCTTAGGTTTTAATTCATGTGCTTTGGTACAGCAGAGATATGGGGTTTTATTATCTCTTGTGTGGTGGTAATCACATTTATGGTCAAAGCAGGAAAGCAGATTAGTCAGTAAACATAGTCAGCTTCATGAGAGGGAAAGCAGAGAGGCCTGAAGTTAATCCTTCTTTTGCCTGTTAGTCAAAATAGAGATACTGAATTGGTAATGGCAGTATCAGACAGTAATGATCATAGAGCTGCCTTATGTGCTTTAACAGGGTTTTGGCTTGATGGGAATCTGATAGTTTTGTTACTGATTGAGCATGTGTGTGTTCCTCGCATTGCGAATACATCACACACCAATTTCAAGTCCATGTAGCACATTTTCAATGTCGTGCCATATTGAATAGTAAGACCTTTTTACACAATGTTGCTGTAAGTTGCTATAATGTAGACACAAATATGACGATTTGTAAGCTCAGAAAATTCAGACGAGAACAGGATCTTCATCAGAAACAATACAAACTTTGTAGCATACTTGTTCTGCTCCGGAAGCACCGTACTGTATATTCAGCCTCACCTCAGAGGGAGACATTTCAGCCGTCTACTCAAATATAAACACATATACTGTTGTAAGAGCTGAAATGTTCAGAGGCTTTCTAATCACTTACATGATATGCTTTCAAACTAGTGCTCCTGTTCTGTTATTTTCACATCATTTGTTTCATGATTTGACAGTGTACAGGCTACACAGACACAGCAGATTCTGACATTGTCCTTTTTCCTTTTGGTCATCAGTGTTGTAAAGTGGTGCTTTGTTTTTTAATCCAACTTTGTAAGTTGGATTGTAAGATAACCAACCCATAATATGTTCAAGCATTGCAGGATGTCTTCTCTGAAAGGAATGATAATTAAGAGTCCCCTGATGTACTGGAACATGCACATGGTTTATTTCACAATTGTTGCTTTGTATTTGGATTATGTTTTGATCCCATTTGATTATTTCAACGTTTGTTCAAGATTTTGGCCTTAACTTAGGCAGCTGTTTTTATTTAGTTTAATCATTCTTATTTGAGTAAAACAATGTAGCATTCCAGTATTTGAGCACAGTGAGTTCTTTTTTGGCCTTCACCCCTCGGGAGCACTGAACGGGTTTTATTTATCAACGCAATAACTCAGAATGTGTCAGACAATCTTTTCACAATTATTTGGAAATACTTTCACATTTTTATAACACTATGTCATTTTTTTTTTATCTGTCTTTCTTGTGTAACATTTGTCTACTTGGACCAGCGACTTGAAGTCAAAGACAGAGGTCTGCTGGCCATTATAGACCAACATGTTTTTCGGGGCAGTGATCAAATCCTAACTACAATGAAGTACAGCCTCTACACTGTGTGTAATTAAATCTTGTTGCCTCCAAATAACCTTGCATAAATACAACAGAAGTTAGATATACGGCCTCAAGAGATGCTAGTAAAAACACTCAATTATGCCTAATTAGCTATGCTAATACGAACGTGTGGAGAGCTTCCTGTACAGCGTTAGCATTCATCACTCCTTCATGTAATGCTATCGCTCTGCCTCCAGATACTAAACACGGTTTAGTCCCTCTGCAGAGGTGGCCATACCTCAGGTTGAAAAGCTCCCATTTGCATAAACACATTTTTAAGACAGCAGCTGACAAGCAAAGCTTATTAAAGGGACAACACACAAAGATGTTAGTTTGACCATACAGTATGAAAATATATTAGACAAATGATTAAACCCAATGTATAACTTGAATTTAACATAAATCTCAAAAAACTTAAATAAAATCAATAATTATTCTAATGATTCCTTTAGAAAATCCCGTATTATTAATGTGTGTTTGTTGATGGAATTCTCAATAGAAGTTTTTTCCATTCACTTTTGAATAAGCATATTTGCACAGCTACTATCTAAACTCTTCAGGCCATCAATTATTGAATTGTAACAGTGTCTGAATATGTCTCACGGGCTCCATAAAACGTATCCAGATAATAAAGTACCTGGTAAACCATCAGAGCAGAAACCCCACATTGATCTTTTTAAGGATTACACCAGGAGGCTAGGTCATTTCTGTATGCTCTCTTTTTTATCTAATGTTGTTGTTGGAAGACGGATGTTAATCGAAAAACATAACCACCAAATGTGTTCTTCTTTTCAGTCATAGGGTGGCAGGGCTTAAAATAAACCTTCACAATCACACGTTGGTAGAAATCAGAAACATTCAGTGTACAGTCTTCCGCTGCATTGAGACAAGTCAGATTGCCGCGTGTGGTTTCACCGTGAAGAGATGTGCTGCACGCTCAGCAGTAGAACACTTCTGTCAGACTCGCTGCTGTGCTTGGCAAATTGTTATCAAACATAGTTTATTCTGGGATTGGAATAACTCTTTGGCACGGATGCAGACATACTGTAATTGGTGAAGTTAGCTGACTGGGTTAGAGGTCAACCATACTGTCCACTTAATTGATTAAAGAGTGCTACTTTCTCTTTTTGCCTAAGGACTTTTTAATGCCTCAGATGGTTTATATTACAGGATTGGTGGGAGGTAGAGGCCAGTAAGAAAAATTGTACATAGCTTTAGACTAGATTTCACTCAGTTAGTGTTGGAAGAATAGAGTGCTGGTGCTGAAACACACTGCTGAAAATGTCTATAACTGGCTGGTGGACAGCTTCATTAAAGCCCTTCCAGGACGAGCGTATGATTCCTCCACTCTTGTGTTGTCAATGTACCATCGCCTGCCTGGTGTTTTACACAGCAGTCAGCCAACAAAACAGCCTGCCTGTGAAGATCACCCCTCGTGTGCATGTGTCAGACGTTAGTTATAGTGTCATGCACACAATGCTGCCTGATTGTCAGCCCTTTGTTCATAAACACAACGGCTCCTGAATGCTTCAGTCAGTCCCTTCCAGGGAGCTCTTGCTCCGAGGCTTTGCTGTTAATATCAACATCTACTTACAGAGAGCGCTCGGGATTCTCATGGGTGGACTCAGCTCTTTGCTTCGTCTTTGAAACAAAATCACTTGATGTGCTGCTGTTCCCATTTATGCCGTGCCCGCGTCTTATATTTCCTTTCTCAAGAATAACAATTACCTTTGGGGTTCATGTACTTTAAAGAATATTATTTGATTTCTCTTTAACAGAACAGTTATTAACTGTTACACACCCTGAATACATTGTCCTCTTGTGAATTCCTGCAAGTCAACCCTCTGCTTGCTTATCACTGTGATCAGCGTTTTGCTGGTGGTAACTTGCATGCAGTTCAACAATTATCATGAACAGAACCCAGATACGGGAAATCTTTGCTGTTTGTACTGTTAATGTCTGTATGTGGCACTATTAATGTTGAGTTGTTTCTTGACACAGACATTACTGCAGCTTTTAAAAGAAAAATCTTACAATAATTATTTAAATTTGAGAGTAATATTATTTCAAGGCTTCCTAAAATATACTTTATACTCAATTAAAACTTTAAAAAAAAATAATCTTCAAACATATTTGTTTTTTAAAGCGAGGTTAAAGACCATTTTGTTTAATCTGAAGTACAAGTTGAGGGCCTTAATTGGTTGAACTTGTACATTATTTAAGTCTAAGTAAAGTTTATTATTATGAGCTCCCTTAAGATTATGTTGAAGAAATCAGCATTTCTGGTTTGAAGCTACTTAGCAATAAACTATACAGTACACATCTAAAAGCTGTCTCCTCATTTCTGTCAGGAATTGATAATGAAACTATATGACATAAGAAATCTATAGATGGTCTATGGGTTGTTTAGGTGTTTTGCATGTTTGCAAAATAATGTAATTAATAGTCTGTTTGTTGCACTGATTCATTTGAATACACTTTACATGCAGGGTTGGTATGCAAAATACATTAGGGAGTTGAATTTAGATGTGTTGGCAGCCAGATGCCTAATCACTATATAATGGAATGACATGAGACCTTTAGTGAAAGTGTGGGAATACCACTCTAAAAGCCCTTGCCTAGCAAATATTCATATAAAAATTCTGTAGGGCAT